CATTCTTCGAACGAGGCTTGTGTTGAGTATTAAACGGCAGGCAGCAGCTTGGCTCTGCCACGTCCATGATCGACGGTAACCACTCACCATCGGGTGGGCCGTATGCTCGTCTGTCTACAAGGGCAATAAATAATAAAAACCTGAATATGCCTCTGTAATGTAATCACCATATGTCATATGTGCAATTATGTGTGACAATAGCGTGACGGCAAAACTATGCTCAGTTTGGTATCGCAAGCCTTTTAGTGCGGTTACTTACCGATATTTCTGAAGCGGTTATTCAGTAAAATCCTTTGAAGTGTTCGCTTGAGTGAGACTATAGTACGATCATATACATACATGTGGTATCACCTACGAATCATACTTAATACAATAAACAAACACTGTCCTATATAGTTACTTTAAGTTTTTTTTTTTTTTTTATTGCTTAGATGTGTGGACGAGCTCACAGCCCACCTGATGTTAAGTGGTTACTGGAGCCCATAGACATCTACAACGTAAATGCGCCACACGCCTTGAGATATAGTTCTAAGGTCTCAGTATAGTCACAACGGCTGCCCCACTCTTCAAACCGAAACGCATTACTGCTTCACGGCAGAAATAGGCAGGGTGGTGGTACCTACCCGTGCGGACTCACAAGAGGTCCTACCACCAGTAAGTTTGCCTATATCGTATAAAGGATCATCTAGAGTCTAGAGCATAGATTCCGGTATCTTTAAGCTTCTATTACAATAAAGTTATACGTTTTTGGAAGTCTAAACCGATAAAGGTCTAGCTGCAATCGAAATTCCAAGATTGTCTGCCAAATTCTAGATCATGCGATTTGTTTTTCCTTTAAAATTGTACTTCAAAAATAATCGTGCCAACATAAAAATCGTTACTCTGTAGAATCGTAACCAAACAGTATTTAAAAGTGTTCAATATCACTCCGAAAATGTCGTTGTGATACTTTAAACAGTAGACACACTTGATCAAACATTCAACACGTTAAACAAATTATATAAATATTTTAATTTCTAAGCGTCTAGCTTAATCGGCAACTAATATTATAAAGAGAAAAGATTTGTTTGTATTGAATAGGCTCCGAAACTACTGAACTGATTTGAAAGATCATTTCACTGTTTGAAAGCTACACTATTCCCGAGCGACATAGGTTATATTCTTTTTCGAAAAAATTAGGGATCCTTACTAAAACTCCAATTACGTAACACAAGGTGTAAAAAATTACATAAAATATTCTTGACACCGCGTGCCCTGCGAAAACAATTGATGATAGAATAAAATAATATACTACGACTTTGTAGAACACATTATTATTTACAAAAGTGTCGCAATAGCATATGTCTAACTATTATAGTTATGCCACACTAAGTGTTCTTTTATTTAAAAAAATAAAACAACGTCAAATATCGTTGAAATTTTTGTTAAAGACCCAAGCGGAGCCGGAGCGGGCTGCTAGTCGGCAATAAAATAAGGCACGCATACTTTTAATTTAGTTTTAATATAACGAAAATTTTCACCTTAATCCAAAACTGAGGCAGTCAGCCACCGTAATTTTAACAGAAGGCAACAATTTATTCCGATTCGAAGAGCTAAACACTCATTTTCCAATGCACTTGACTTCGACCTCACGTATCGTTGTGGATTTTTCGAATTTTTAAGGGCTCTTATTTACTTAACACGAGATTGCGGTCGTGAATAGTGCAGGAGTGAGTAACCTTTTTAATCAATAGGCCAATTTAAGTTTTTTTTTGACGGGCTCCACATAGATTAACTCTTACTAATAATAATTTACGAAACTTTATTTATAACTAGCTTTTGCCCGCGACTTCGTCCGCGTGGAATAGTTACCTTGGCACAACGCTAAACTTTACCCGCCTCTTCATTTACGTAGACAGTGAAAATATTGTTGAATAATAGAATTTTAAGGAGCTATTTATGTTTTTTAACCGACTTAACAAGAGAGGAGAGGATCAGTAGTTCCTCAGATTAGCGCGTTCAAACAAACAAACTCTTCAGCTTTATAATATTAGTATAGATAAATATTAGAATTAAAAAGTATAAAACTAAAAAAAGTATAGATTTCATATACCAATTGAAATGCGAGATAAAAATAAACGAGAAAAGAACAGAAACGAGAAAATCGATAAAATAAATTCAATTTTAGAAATACATACTTGGCGGGCGGCGTGTTGCTCATCTTTGATCTAGTGCAATAAGAACAAAATAGGCTCCTTACATATTTATTAAAATACTAAAACCATCGTGATTGAAACGTAATACTTATTATTTATGTTACTTTTTTTTTATTGCTTAGATGGGTGGACGAGCTCACAGCTAACCTGGTGTTAAGTGGAGCCCATAGACATCTACAAAGTAAATGCGCTTGAAATATAAGTTCTAAGGTCTCATACATAGTTTACATACTACAGATTTAACAGATTTACTTCTACAATACAAATCCCACGTTCGTTTATAGCACTAGCCAGTGCAAGGAATTAATTACATTACGATTTCCTCAACTTATCGACCTTGTGATCGGCTTTTTTGTTCAAAGCCCCATTATATTCATAATTGAAATCGCAAGCTATGAAATAAATTCGCACGTCCGCTTCTAAACAATGAGAAGTCATTAAAAGTTTTCTTGAAGAGCATTTTGTTTCATAACACCAATAATTAATGGTGAAAACGAAATTAAATACGTATTATGAATAAAACAGCAGACACATTTTAATTATGTATAAGTGTATTACATTACATTTCATTATCACTCTTTTTTGAAGTGAAAACTTCTTTAGAATCGTTGTGATTTCAAACGGGATGCAACGGAAAAAACGACAGGTAAGAGACACAAATACAAAATTGTGTAGGATGAAGCCAGCAAAGAATGAGACAGAAATATACATACTATTTAATACAGCGCCATCTGTGAGATTTTTTAATACTAACGTGTGTATGAAAGCTCTTGTAGTGAATTTTAATTTAGGATTATACGTGAAATTAAAATATCAATTCACAGAGGGCGCTACCTTACAATTATTTACTAATGACAAAATTTTACATATACTTAAGACGTTTAGGATAATTGTATTTTAATTTTGGAAGGTTTCACTTCTACCACGTGTGACTTGCACACACACATTCTTTTTTTTTATTTCTAACTTTAGAATCAATTATTTCTTTTGGCCATGGTTAAGATTGAACCGGTGGTTTGTTTTAAATAAGCGATAATCTCAAAAGCAAGCAAACAATGGTACAAATAAATTTGAATTTTAAAACAAAATCGAGTCGAAAGTCCAAGTTGAATTTGAAAAATTAAAAAAAAAATCGTATTAAGTTGATCAGTTGGGTGATTTGAAATTTACTGTGACATTAGTTTCGTCAGCGCCAAAACTGAATAAGACACTTATTATCCTAAGCTCAGAGGTGAGCAACCTTTTTAATCAATGGGCCAATTTAAATATAAATTTTTTTTGGCGGACCACTCATAGATTATCTCTAATTAATAATTTACGAAACTTTATTTATAATAAATGTTAGAAAAAAAAATGAAACTAAAAAAAAAGTAAATATTTCATATACAAATTTCAATGCAAGATAAAAACAAACAAGAAAAGAACAGAAAATCGAAATTGATGGGAGAAAGTCGATAAAATAAATTGAATTTTATAAATGATTGGCGGGCCCTCGTGTGTTGCTCATTTAGGGCCTAAACAATTTAATGGAGTTATGCTATAGTGACCGAGTCCAAATTATATAGAGAGACGACCAAGATATAAGATCAATGAGTTGTCATAAAAAATCAAACCCACATTTTTTTAATTTGAGCCCTTATCGGTCTTTATCCTGCCCCTACCCTACAAATCGGTTCGCCTAACGGCTTTTCAACGTGCTCTAGTGAATATATCACACACTCATCTTCTTTCTACAATTTTGGTCTTGCTGACGTCCATGAATAACGCGGCTACTTACCATCCGAAGGGCTGTATTTAGGCTCGTCTTCTTAAAACGGCATTTAAAAGACCCCTACCCAACCATCTGCGTCCGAATCAGAATTCACCGGTTTTACTTTCATTCGTCATCCCTTAAGTGTACACTACGGCTCTGGAATGAACCATTCGTCCAAAGGTCCGGAGTACTAAGTCTTTGTCTTCTTTAAAACGAGATTTAGGAACAATATTGATAAGCAATGCACTTTCGTTCCTAACACCACGCTTGTCAACGGTGGCCTTCAAACCGAAACGCATTACTGCTTCACGGCAGAAATAGGCAGGATGGTGGTACCAACCCGTGCGGACTCACAAGAGGTCCTTCCATCAGTAAGAGTAATATATATATATTTTTATATCTCAGTGAAATAAAGATTTTATTATTAACAAAAAGTCAAATCAAAATAATTTAACATAAATCAACTCACACAGTAGAACAGATCTTCCAATGCGCTTGAAGGAGGCACAGTCCCCAAGATACTGGCTAAGTTGCCTCGTTGGACCAGCCAGACTCGCTCTCTGTGCAAAGTACCAGCCAGCCTTAGCATCATGTGTAATCTCCTTCGAGCGTTTGGAGCTTTCTGTTAAAAATTTCTTTGCTTCAGGGCCCCAAGGGCCCATCGTCTCAACCGCGAAAGGCAAAAAAGAATAAGAAGACCCCAAACCCGAATACTCAGTTAAATCCAAGATATTATGTGGTACCGGTTAAGCATTCACAAAAACATTTAAATGTCGTATTACTACTAGTAAAAGGAAAAAACATCGTGCTTAAAGGATCAACAGGTTTTTGTCAACCAACTCTATTGTGTTACTACTTAAACATATGAGAAAAGCTGTTGCGAGCGTATAACAAATAATTAATCGCCAACACGCGATCAGCTATGGCGGTTCTGTGTGTCTTGACATAGCCTTGTCATTATTACTGTAAAATTTGTTCATTTTAATTAATTAAAAGTTGATTTAAAGTTTTTTTTCCAAGAATTTACTTTTCTGTAGAGTCGTCATTGTGTTAGTGTCTGTGTTGTTTTTTTTAAATAAATATAACCGTTTAGTTTCCAAGTAATATTTTTTCATTGAAGTCGATTTTGTGTTGTGCGAACAATAAAAGCAGAAAACAATGCTGGCTAAATATACGAAGACAATATTTTCGGTCTCCGTTGCATTTCTCGTCGTGTCCATCGTTTTGGCTACATGGGGATTCCCGAAAATCATCAGAAAACAGATCCAGAAGGTAAGGCTTTCAAATTTAAAATCACACTTCTTTAGTTATTTAGACAGCCTTATCGTCGCTGGAACATCGAAAATGTTCTGGTCAACTGGCGCTTCGGTTGCTAGGATACTTTTTATCTTAGCCACAGCTCTTATACTATTATGGGAAATGGATTATATGTTTCTAATATGCGTTGTAAGTTACGGCTAACTTCTCATACCCATATTGTACTAAATTCAAGCAAGACTTCACGAATTTTCCCTATTGTCTGTCATTTCTGATCGTTAGTTCTCTACTGACACTTGCATTAGCAAATGAAAATAATCTTATTAGGTGATAATTTATAAAAACAGACGCTTGTTAGGGATAATACTCATTGGGTACGGTCGAACACACGCTCACACATTGTCCCGTATGGCTGGGGCAACGCCGGGTCCTTGTCTCGCCAATAGGATCTGACTTGTCGCTGCCGACGGCCGTGGGTATGATGCTCAGCAACGATGAGTCCTGGAAGGCGATGTTCGACTTCTGCAAATCCAACATCTCGCAGAAGGAGGCGGCGGAGCGAGAAAGGGAGAGCTCGTCCCTCTCCGCACCTATCCGTCACAGTCTCCTTCGGAGGTGCTCGGTCAGTTGTTAGCAAATCCCACCCCTCCTGGCTAAGCCTTTGCTCGCCCACCTGTCCTGGTGAAACTGGAAAGGCCTTCAGGCCACCAGTAATATTTCGATCATAAAAAAAAACCTATCCGTTGCGCTACCTACGCTCTAACGTCTGTGTAAGAGCAACCGGTTGGCGGTGTATCGCGTTCCGGCCTGACAGGCTGGTTCTAGTCCAGCAAGGTTCAGAACACCAGCGGCACCACCTGGAGCAGCCTGTCAGACTGCCGTACTGAGAAGACCGACGTAGAGTCGTCGACTATCGCCTCGACGACCGTCGGTCGGGCGTCCTCGGGGTGGCGCCGCGTGTCTGGTTGTAGTGTTGACCGCGGGAACCCCCCTACTCTGACCGAATTCTAACTCCGGGTGGAGATCGGACGCCAGATGAGAAAGTGAAAGAGGAGTCGTTTGGTGGGTAGGGCCTAAAACATCCTTGGGCCCGCGGTCTGCTCAGAACATCTGCAGACCGTCATCTCCCTCATACCCGGCGCGCTCCCTAGGCCCGGACACTTCGTATGAGGTTCAGACCCATGCCTGTAATAATAATAACAAACATTTATCCCAACCATAAATTACAAAACCATTAAGCAAAAGAAGAGGAAACATAACTATTGAGGCACGGACAAGAAAAAGAATACATTTGCAAAATGGAATCTGCTACATTCAATTTTAATTACAATACACAATTACGAAAGGGTAAAATTATCATAATGTTTCAAACTTGATCTCTATATTCAAAAGATACACTTTTACGTGTTCACATACTAACAAATAAAGACTGAAAAAAATAAGAATTCACGTAATTTACTGCAGTTTTGCCAACGTATATATACTATATAGTATACGTATTGTCTATATCTGAATAGTGCGTACACTATTTCGTATCGATGTCCTCGGGTTAGAGAGAGATGGCAACAGGAGCGAGACAAATTAACGAGCATAATTAAAACTACTTTTACGGTTAATGACAATAAAAACGAAGAGACTAAATCGTAAAAGTAACTTTAATTATATGTATACGATTCGCGAAAACCGAAGATAAGAAAAAGCAAAAAACCTTTGTTTTTTAGTACAATTCATATCGTAATATTACGGACTTGTGATTCGCTTGCGGACTAACAAAAATAATAAATACCCTCTTAGGTAAATAAATATAAGATAGAATTCGTAAGTAATGCTTATAAATAATATTTATTAAGATTATATCTGAGTAAAGAAAGCTCACTTGTGTTTTTGTATATTATTCTTTGTTTATTGTCTTTTCTTTTCTATACGTACCTATTTGTAATTTAATTTTCACTTAAATATGTATCTGAATGTATGGATTATTATTATCTGATAAACAAATACATGAATTATTATTATATCACTGGTGGTGGGACCTCTTGGGAGTCCGCACGGGTAGGTACCACCACCCCGCCTATTTCCGCCGTGAAGCAGTAATGCGTTTCGGTTCGAAGGGTGGGGTAGCCGTTGTAACTATACTGAGATCTTAGAACTTATATCTCGAGTGGGTGGCGCATTTACGTTGTAGATGTCTATGGGCTCCAGTAACTACTTAACACCAGGTGGGCTGTGAGCTCGTCCATCCATCTAAGCAATAAAAAAAAAATAATAATATTATTATTACTGTCAATCAACCCATTTTAGCATTTAATTGTATTCCATAATGATTTTACTTATTCGATATTTAAGTAATTTCAAATTTTGTTAAGCGCTTTGGTTCATTTCAAGTTAAAACTTTAAGTAGAAAATTAAGAAATGAATATCTCTTTTTTACTACATTCTATGTACTTATATACTCAGATTGTGAAATTCAAGAGGACCACGCTACATTGGAGCTATAAACCTTTTTCGTTTCACTTAAGACTCTTTATGAAAAACTTTTTGTCCGATAACTCAAAGATATATATTTTAACAATGTACAAAATATCTTGTGTTGTATGTATGAAAGAAAATCATTTAGTAAAAATATGGTAAATAATAAAGACTAAAACACACGAATTGTGAAAGCTACTGGTGGTAGGACCACTTGTGAGTCCGCGCGGGTAGGTACCATCACCCTGCCTATTTATGCTCTTAAACAGTAATGCGTGTCGGTTTGAAGGGTGAGGTAAATATTCTACACATAAAAAGACAAAAATAAAAGAGTTCTTCTTTTACCGGTGGTAATGCATCTTCTGAATATTGAATGCAGCAACTGTACCGAGACCTTAGAACTTATATCTCAAGGTGAGTGACGGCATTTACGTTGTAGATGTGTATGGGTTCCGGTAACTACTTAACAACTCTCCGGTAAGGTGGGCCATGAGCTCGTCCATCCAGATGAGGAATAAAAAAAAACTGAATATTAGAGGAATCATTATAAACACTATTATTTAATGAGATCTCTATAGTTTGGCGCTGTTGCCAGCACCATGATCACGGGTAGACCTAAAAAACTCTAGCATGTATACCAGAAAAAAAATAAGTCTTCTTGCGTCTGCGCGTTTGTAAAGAACACAATGCATCTCATATTCCCCTAGCGCGAGAACACATTAGCGTAAGACCACAACGTCCACATTTATATAGGTATGGGTGTATTCGAAAACGGTATTTTTCGAGCCATATCAGCTCTCATACCGCAAACAAGTCCAATCTTGCCTTGGAAAGACCTCATACGCACTGGCTAAAAATCCCTCGCATAGTCTCACAGTCAACGACAACAACTCTACAAGTGGTTGATAGGGAACTATTTATTTCAGGGGAAACATGACGCGCCTAGCACGCGAATATAATACTATGAGAAAACCTGTTTCTCGACATTTTAGGCAATTAAAATGAACGGTGAATTCGAGGAACTTGTTTTAAACCAGTTTCAAATTTACATTTCTATTCCTATTAAATTGATAATTCTATAAAACAGTTCTAAAATGACAACAATTACTAGTGAGTATATTTTATTAAGAACTAGCGGCCCACTCCGGCTCCGCTCGGGCTTTTAACAAAAATTTCAACGATATTTGACGTTCTTTTATTTTTTTAAATAAAAGAACACTTATTGCGGCATAACTATAACAGTTAGACATATGCTGTCACGACACTTTTTTTTTTTAATAATAATGTATTCTACAAAGTCATAGTACATTATTTTATTCTATCATCAATAGGGTTTAATTATTGGAGCTTTAGTAAGGATCCCTAATTTTTTCAAAAAAGATTATAGCCTATGTCACTCGGGAATAGTGTAGCTTCCAAACAGTGAAATAATTTTTCAAATCGGTTCAGTAGTTTCGGAGCCTATTCAATACAAACAAACAAACAAATCTTTCCTCTTTATAATATTAAGTATAGATAATAAAAACGAATGAATCGATTCTAATTATGAACACGTTTACTATAAGCATCCTATGCCTTTACGACATAACATTGAAGTCTCTTTTCATTGGTGTTTTTTACATGGAAGTCTAAAGTCTAATATCGTGTAGAAAAAAATTCCGTGTGTTCAAGTGGGCCGTGAGCTCATTCACAAATCGTAGCAATAAAAAATTAATAAAAACTAAAGCTATTTTCTATTTCCAACAAATAATATAAATAATAAACATGTTGATGTTATTGATAAAATACGCGGTTGTAGTATGCGTAAAAGCAGAATACACAATAATAAAACTATATCAATGCAGTGCACCACGAACTTTTTTTTTTTTATGATTGAAGTATTACTGCTGGCCCGTAGGCCTTTCCAGTTTCACCAGGACAAGTGGGCGAGCAAAGGCTCAGCCAGGAGGGGTTGGATTTGCTAACAGCTACCCGAGCGCCTCCGAAGGAGACCTAACAACTCAAGAGCAACTGCTTCGCGAATGAATCTACTACCGGATCGGAATCGAGACCCGCTGAGAAGGTCCGGCGAGAAACTCAGCGAGCTGATTCATGGGTTAGGTTGCACGGCGAACTCTTTGTCGAGTTCGACGAATACGGTTACCGGGGTCCCTAAGCCTGCTCCTAGTGTTAGAGCTGAAGGCGTCAATGAAAAAGTTATTGGACCAGATGGATCCGTAAGGACGTGTCTAGAGCGTCGACGGTGACTGGCTCCTGCGTGATCAGGATTCGGGGAGTAGTCAGCGGCGGCAACGATAAGGCGATTATCATGACGTATAGCCTTATCGAAGTACCGTTCCGACGCTGACTTCATGTATTTCTGGATAGATTCGAGGCCCAGGTCGTCGTGTAGGTCAACGTTCCTCACGAACCACGGAGCTCCGACGGCAAGCGGGATTGTAGAGATTAGAGAGTGTCTATGTGTGTACGGGCCACGTGAGCGAACACCACACTCGCGTAGGTCATGACGGGCCTTATGTAAGTTTTGTAAAGTGTCACCTTGTTCC